TATTTTTTTTGTATTTACAAAATGTTACATCTTTTATGACACTTGCCATAGTACATCTTTCAAAGTAGTGGAATAGTTGGATGTAATAATAGAACATCACAGGGTGTAAAACATTTAATTTCCTTTTGAATGGCAATATTTAATAAAATACGTGGTATAGAATTTTGTTATTAATTTTCTAAGGTTCACCACCACCACTATCATCCATCAGCTAGACGTCAGGTTATGAGACACCCTGTATAATAGAGTGGAACACGTTACCGGCAGGCTGATCACCTACTTGCCCATTAGAAATAAATAATTTCAACCAAGGGTCACTGTTTTTGCTTTAGGCTGGCCTGAGTATGTATTATTAAATTTAAAAAGTATTTTAGAGTTCCATAATTAAAAAAAAGGGTGCGTGTACTTATGTACGCGCCTAAGAAGTAATACTTCTTTGGCTTTCTTAATTTTTTTTAAATATTAAATAATTAATAATAAATGTTTAACGTTAATAATTTAATAATATTCAATATTTAGTATATTATTCAATTATTAATTAATATTAATAATAATTATTATTATTATTTATTATTTTATTTTATTATTCATTCAATTTAATAACTAGGTATGTTTCATTACCTTTTAACTAAGTAACAATAGGTCTTTGTGAAAAAGCATTGCTAAATTTCTTTGAAAAAATAATTAATACTCCTTTATTTGTTTAAAAGGTAAATGTCATTATGGTCATTCAAAATTCTTGGCATAGCTGCTAACTTCACGCATATTCTATTTCTTTTTACTTGTAGATTGTCTTATTCCCATCTCGCTCGCGCACGCTATAATCACACTGACAACTTTGTGTCTCAGGTGCGCGCGCATTGTAAAATTTCACTCTCATCAATTATTCATAACGCGCCTAAAGAAGTATAACTTCAAAAATCCATAAATCCCAGGGTAAGGACTCCCACACAAAACTGCGATGCGAATTTCTGCGATACGATTTAGTGCGGCAAACCGTTTGGTAGGGCGACCATTCCTTCGTAGTCAGCCGTACTGGACGTGTTTTTAGGAAGCGTTATTGTTAAATAGATATAAAAGAAAAAGAAGATTCTGGGTTCATCTATTTATTACGATTATGAACTCTGATGCAAACTTTCACAGACGATCTTCCACGCATCTTGCTTAATAAATTTATTTTTATAATGTTCATCACTTGTGTCCCAAAGGACGGAACGCTCCTCAATTAAAAAAATTTAAAAAATCCATATCATATGCCGCAATTTTTTAAAAACAAAGAAGGCGGCGGAGGCGCCGCGCGTCTTTCTCTAAAGCTGTCTCAGAGCGGACTAAAATGGCGTCACCAAGGATGACGTAATATCGCAAGAATGTGCGATGCGAAGTAGATCGGAACTTCTTGCGGTGCGTTCGTGCGAATTCGCACATATTTGCGATGCGATGCGAATTCGCAATTTTGTGTGGTAACCCTTATATTTACTCAGAAACATAACACTATGTTATCAGTCAAAATCGACTTTTTTGACCGGATTGAAGTTATGTATTATTATAAATTTACAACTATTTAACATAATTTTAAATTTATCCGACGTTTCGCGTGCTTTACAGCGTGCGTGGTCACGGTGACAAGCTGTAAAGCACGCGAAACGTCGGATAAATTTAAAATTATGTTAAATAGTTGTAAATTTATAATAATACATAACTTCAATCCGGTCAAAATAGTGTTTTATTAAATGAATAAAAGTTATGTTAATCAAAGACAATACTATAACACTATGTTATCTGTCAAAATCGACTTTTTTGACATTCAGGAGTCAGACAATGTTGCCTAATGACTTACGCGCTTCTCGACAAAGTTAGTGAAAAATATTATCTCATAAAGACTTATCCTGAAATACCTGATCTCCTATGTGGAAGTAGCAATGCGTAATTCTTTCCACATCAGCCCAGGCGACGAGGAACTTCGCCATAGTCAGCGGGATCTTCGGTAGGAAATTTGAATGGAATTTGCCTTGACAGTATATTGTTATCACATCCGTGTCCTTTATTTCGAAAATTATTCGGAATATGGTACCTGAAAATTGTTTTAATCAGCAGATCCAAGAGGTCTGATGGTCAAAAACCCACCAAGGTGAAAAGTTCCTCCAACCTAGGTATCCCTTGACTAGTCATATGACTATACATATAGACTATAGACTTATATGACGTATATAAGTACATATGTATATATTATGCTTAACGGGAAATACTTCGACAGCGCGTTTCAGGGTATTACGTATTCACAATGATTTTCGTTGTCGCTACAATTATTGATTTTAAAACATACCAGGCACAAACATATTATAATTCGTGTCCAAATTCCCGCTTCCAATCCAAACACCATTCCTCCGAGACAGAGATATAATGTTGTCTCTATGGAAACGTACGTCGAAGTGGAGGACAACATCACGTGGTTCCTCTCCCTCTTGCGCGCACAGATTTATAGACATTCTGTAAAATTGATACAGATAACATTCGCCACAGCATAATATGTGTTCTACAAACAAGGCTTCAAAATCGTATACCAAATTGAATTGTGTATCATTGTTTGTATATAGTTTTAATTAAAGTTTGCACTTGCTTAACCTCGCGATATTTGAATTTTTTTAAAAACCTCCACCTATTTATTTAAATTTTTAAGAGCCAATAAACTTAAACATACTTTCGTGCATTTTCCTTTATACGACCTCCGATTTCGATTCGATCACCAATCTTGAGCACAGTTGGGATGTTAGCGGTGAATACGGGCATTTTGATATAATAAAACTAGCCCCAATTAATTTTAAGTCAGGACCGGATATAATTTTGAGCATTTTGAACTGTAATTTTATACATTTGCAAATATTTTGATTTATAGACAGAATCAAACGTCATATAAAAACGGAACCGAAAATCTCCACTGAATGACATTTTTAGTGTCTTAAGTTTTTATATATCTGCGTCATTATTTTAAATTTTCCGCGTTCATTCTGTCAATAAAGTCACAGATCACATCATTAAACTTCTTTAAAAGTCTTGAATTAATATTATGAATCTTGTCATGAATTAGAAAGTCAAAGTATTTTCATTAAACGCTTATAGACACATACATTTTTCATACTCAAATATATATTTACCATAATCCAAAAATCTAGGATTCAACAATCAACTTTCTAACTTGTATTGTTATTGACAATCTATGGTAACATCTGTCGATACTCGATTATCATAATGCAATAAAACAATGTTAAATGTTAATGTCATTTCAAAGTTATCGTATCGAAGTTCGAACATAACCTATTTTTTTATTTTAGATAAGTTCAAATCTGTATAACTTTTTTTATCAAAGTCTTTATTGATAACCGGTGGAATTCGCGCAGGTGAGTAAATAAAATGTTTTAATTATACGTGGCATTTTACTCATGTTTTCTTAAACTTTTAAAACTAATACGATTACCTAAGGTTAATATTATATTTGGATCAACTTCAAGCTCGTATCTAATTTGTGTTTATTAATTATTATTTTTAGTCTTAGGCACGTTTTATAAATAGCTTATGTTACCAACATTCTATATGTCGCAATAGTATGTTAATATATTTTGTCAGTAATATTTTTGTTCTACATCTAATACATATAAAAAAAATATTATTACAATGATTAATAATTTATTTTTATTTTAAAGAGCTTGAAAAATTTCAAGTGTTATGTTTTAAGGTTTTATAGCTTTGACTGTTGGTTTTTATTTAAATATTTGTATCTGTCTGTATGAAAAAGTTGATTTCAAAAATCACACACATCTGACAAAAAAATAATACTGAAAGTTTATTACAATTTTAGTAGATCTTACCTTTTGACGGATGTATTAATATTTGTGCAACTAGCTTACCTGGAAAACATTGTTTTGCCTTATAAATTATTTCTAGTGAATATTTTATTAGTTAAATAGGTAAGTTATTTCAAGTGTAGGGCATTAATATATACATAATACTATTAATGCCAAATCTTGAAAATATAAAAATGGGTCTGCTTCAAATGAGTTATAAATTATATATGAAATGGCTTACACCCTAATCTCCAACCTACCAAAATATCTAAAAAAAGTCACATAAAACTTGGGAGGACTTTGATTATAAAGACCGTGACACAATAACTTTTAAATATATAAAGTAGGTTATATATTAGCAGTGTAGGATTAAGTTGCCAGGTAAAATAATATATTTGTTTTGAACTAGTATGTAAAGCTGCCTTGAAAGATAATGCTTGCTATATAGAGTTCTAGCTCATTAAACATTGATATTTCTGTCACCACTATTGCATCATTTCAACATGACTGATACAATACTATCAAAATGGCTATGTGTAAATATCTATAGACTATAGTGTGCCCCAATATTATATTAGCCCCAAATATAATTTTATTGATGATTTCTATGTAGGTAGGTAGTAAATTTTCTTGGCTTTGTTGAGCAATACTCAGTCTCATTTAATATTAGGGAAAGACAATGTGCTATGTTATAAAAATTTATAGTTGGTCATACAATGGAGGGATTGTGTGAGAAAACCGGCATGTCTAGGAGACGGAAATAATGGTGTCTGTCAAACACAGATGGCTGATCTTCTAGAATAGCCTTGAGATTTTATATTCACATACTATATTCACTTACTCAAAAGAGTTAAGTTAGTGTAAATAATATCAAAAGGTATGTTACACTGGAAGAGATCAGTGACTGCTTATTTATTTTTAATTTATTAAACTTCGTTACATTATAAATAAACAATTAGGAATGCAACTTATTGCTAACAAGGGATCTCTTCCAGGCAACCCTGTAAGGAAAGAAAAAAATTGTAAACCAACTTATCAAATAAAATAACAATTAGCACTGAAAAATTATACAATTATCAAACTTAATCTAAAATAAGTCTCAAATAAATATAAGAAATTAAAGAGTTAAGTTGGCATCTGGTAAATAATTCCAGATACATAATGGTGGTGTCAGAAGAGAAAGTACCAATGGAAGGTGATGTTTCAAGCAAGAAGGCGGCGAAGAAAGCAGCGAAGGCAGCTGAAAAACAGCTAAAGAAGGCGGAACATAAGGTAATGTAGTCATAAGTATTAAGTGTACATTGTGTTACCTATATGAATGAATGATTTTGATTTTTTTTTATTAAAATGTAATGTCTAAATGGGATATGTATGAAAAACGTAGGTTCGATCCGCGGTTGTGCACCAATGCACTTTCTTTCTATGTGCGCATTTAACATTCGCTCGAATGGTGGAGGAAAACATGGTGGGGAAACTGGCTTGCCTTAGACCCAAAAAGTCAAGGGTCGTGTTTCAGGCACAGGAGGCTGATTACCTACATGCCTATTAGATAGAAAAATGATCATGAAACATATACAGAAATCTGAGGTCCAGACCTGAAAAGGTTGTTGCGCCACTGGTTTATTATTTTTGTTATATACGTGGTGTAGACTTAGTCTCCGCACTCTGATGCTCATTTGGTCCCTTAAGTCCTGGCTAATTTAGACAGCATAGCTCCTTCCAGAAGCTCAGAAGGCACTTCGCTTTACGGAGCGACCTTACTGCTCCGAGGATTTCGAGTTCGGAAGCCACAACGCATTCCAGGACTACCTGGGTGAATGATTCCTCTGCGCTGAAACAGCCTTTGCACTAAATAGGCTATTTTTTATGTCTTTAAAGCGTTAATGGAGTAGAATTATAGATAGAATGGGTCACGTGACACAAAACGGTCACACACTAGACAAATTCTTGTCTGACTTCGTCTGTCAAATCCTAATACAGTTAGTTTTTGGACGAAATGTGTCATTTAATAATAACAATTAACACATACTTTTGGTATATTATAGAAGAAGGTTTATAGTTCCTGTCATATTCCAGGGCCCGATACAAGCTCCAAATGACGAGCCTGACATATCTGAGGGCAAATATGGAACATACAAGCTGATTCAATCGGATGGGTCATATGTGGAAAGAGAGTATGTTGATGTAAAGGATTTGTGTGAGAAGTTCGCTGGACAAAATGTTTGGGTCCGAGGTAAGTAACAACTCCCACTTGTCAAAGATATTGAATTTGACACATGACGTTTTCTAGAAGTTGTAATTCCGCTTTAAATTAAAGAATTGTTTGCCTCCAGACTACAAAACTGGAGACAAACCTAAATCCCTGATGAACACAGGCTACAGATTACGATAGTGATAAGATATGATAACCAATAGAGATTTCTGTATGCCTCGGAAATTATTGACCATTACTAGTACTTGTACTTGTTTTATAGAAGACATCAATATCTACAAAAAACCATATCTAACAATTATATATTTAATAATATAATATAATCGAAGCCAGGACTAAACAAACTCATAAATTTAAAAAATAATAATAATAATAATAATGTACAAAGATACTTTTTTTTTTGTTTATTCACTACTGACTTGACACTGACTTTGACAAGTCTGTAAGATGTCTATGACAATGACAAGCCTTTAAGATATCTATGACATTGACAAATCTGTAAGATTTGATCTTGTGTGTTGTCATCCTAATCAAATAATTTACATTATTATTATTGAATAAATTTTGCCGGTAACCCGTGAGCATTCCGGCCGTGTGTGTCCAAGGGTATTACATAACTATATTCCAAATGTTGGCCTAGCTTTGGTTATTCCTAGCTCATTCCTTGGGTCGATCTGTGTGATTTGAGTGTACAAGAAAACATCACGAGGAAACCTTCGACCCTTAGGCACAGATGGCTGATCACCTCTTCATTAAATAGATTCATAATTCAGACCTACAAGGTTGTAGCGAGAACATCGTAATACCGGAATCAGACGCAATCAGGTAAAGGCTGATCACCTACTTGCCTCATGAAACAGTTAAATAGGACCCAGACCCAAAAGCTTGTAGGGTTTATTTTTTTTAATTTTATGATTGCAGCTCGTCTCCAAACATCAAGAGCGAAAGGCAAGCAATGTTTTGCCGTATTGAGACAGAATAGTGCGACTATTCAACTGCTGATCAGCGTCAATGATGAGAAGAGAGTCAGCAAGCAAATGGTCAAATTTACTGGCAAGTAAGTTGATACAAGGTGTTCTCGAGGGTTTTGTGGGACGGCTAGTGTGTGTGTATTTTTGTAAGTAATAAATGTAATATCTATGTCTATCTATGACTTGGGTGATAGGGCAGGTAATTTAACCCCAGAATTTTTTTTTTTTCAATACAATTGTGTGTTTTAGGACTGCATTTTTAGTTCATTTAAGAGGTCGGTGTGTAAGGAGGTTGACCTGATAGCCTAGGTGATATATAGGAAATGTTACTTTCCCATGGGCATGTCCCATGGTCATGCTGCTGAAGACCTAAGGTCGACTGGTCAGCCGCGGGCTGATATCTTTTATCCCTAATATTTCTATCAGCCCACCTTCTTTTTGATCTGCCCCCTCTTCTACCGGGTTGTCCCTTCCATTATATTTTTTATACGTGACATAGATATTTTTGTGGTTCACCTTCGCCTGCTCTGTCACTCGACTTCAGCTTGGTGTTGACTTTTGAGACACCTGTATATTTATCAGTATCTTGTCCTAATTCTACTAAATAATCCTCACGTGGTGAAGGAAACCTTAGACAGGTCAGGCACAGAAGGCTGATCATCTATTTTCCTATTAAGAAACAGATAAGAGGCACAAACCTAAAAGGTTGTAGCGAGAACATCGTAATACCTTCAAACGTACGAAGAAAGACATCGTGAGGAAACCTTAGACCCTTAGATTGCTGATCACTTGCCACAGAAATCTGTCCTTAATATTTTAATTGAATTTCCCTTTCAGCATCTCCAAAGAGTCCATAGTAGACGTTCAAGCGACAGTGGTGAAGACCGCCTCACCAATTGAATCGTGTACGATAAAGGGTTATGAGTTATTCGCTTCTGAAATTTGGATTGTGTCAGCGGCGAAGACTCAGTTACCGTTGCAAGTTGAAGACGCGGCGAGACCGGAAACGGATGTATGTATTTATTAGACTTAAGGCCATCCTGGATCCTTGAAGTTATAGTTTTGTGCACACCGTCACAAAAAACCGACACCCTGAATATCTGTTCAAACGTCGGTAAAACAGTCTGGGCCGCTAGTTGGCGTTTGCTCTGTTTTATCGACAAGTTGCATTGTCACGGCGTTGTGTTTTTCATAGTCGTATTTATTTAAACCAAAATAATGATTTCTATACGAGAAACCCGTTCTAATGTGATAAAAAAACATAGTGTTTATTGTAAAATATCATGTAGATTGACAATATGACAAGCTTCGCTGAATTTGGTCAAAAGAAAGAACTTGGTATTCGGGAGAACCGACCCAGAAATGCCAGCAGTATGAAGAATACTGGTCTTCGGTTAGAGTTGATTTCATTGTTTTATTTTCACAGGATCCGGAAGCCCTAAAAATCCGTGTGAACCAAGACACGAGGCTAGACAATCGAATCTTGGACCTTCGTACTCCGGCTAACCAAGCCATATTCAGACTCGAGGCTGGTGTGTGCCGTCTCTTCAGGGATATACTCACTAAGAAAGGTTATTTTTAATTAAATTTTTACAAGTACAACTCTTGTCAATTGTCAGATAGGTAAAAAATTAATTGTTATTTTAAACGGTCAATAGATGGCGCTGGATGGCATTTTAAAGCTATTGCATAGATTTTATCGCGGGCTTTGAACGCGGCGACCGAATCAAGAAATTCCGTAACTAAATAAACCTAACACACGTTGACGTAATATAGGTGCGGCCATTCGCGTTAGCGCGGGACAGAACGCATACTGCGTCTCACATCGGTCTGGCGGTGATCGCTGACGTAGCGCAGGTGCGTTAGAGTGGGACATAACGCATACTGCGTATTCACATCTCTCTGACGAGATCGGTGACTTATCGTATGCGCGGCCGTTAAAAAAATAATTATAATTGCATAAGTTGATAAAAATGCTATGCGATAGCTTTACCGCGGCAGTCCCCAAGTGCCCCATGTTTAGGTCTGGGTCTCATAAGTTTCATGAGGCAAGTAGGTGATCAGTCTTTGCGTGATTGGGTCTAAGTCCTCACGATGTTTTCCTTTGACACGTTGAGGGACGAGAGTCGCATGCGCATGTCACTGAAGTTAATTATATCAAAGATTTTTTTTCCAGGTTTTGTTGAAATTCACACGCCCAAGATCATCTCGGCCGCGTCTGAGGGCGGGGCCAACGTGTTCACAGTGTCTTACTTCAAGTCCAACGCGTATTTGGCACAAAGCCCACAGCTGTATAAGCAAATGGCTATAGCAGCTGATTTTGACAAGGTAGAGAAATATTTGAGAACAAAACAATACCGTGTTTTAAAATTATATACTTATATGGAAGGCCCGCCATCTAGCGGACGGTGTACAAAGTACAAACTAAATCCTTTTTGTTTAATTTCAACTCCTTTATATCATTTTAGGGCAATAGTTTTAAACTTAATGCCAGTTTCACTCTGAGGGCTTCTGAAGAGGTCAATAAATATGTAAAAAATTAAAGAAATAATCTCTTTACAACTAATAACGATTCCGCGTTTTAAATAAATTATAAATGGAAGGCCCGCCATCTACCGGATGGTATTCAAACTAAAAACTTATTGTTTAAGATCAACTTCTTTCTATCATTTGTTTATGGCAATAGTTTTTACTTTATGCCAGTTTCGCTTTGTGAACTTCTGAAGAGGTCAATATCTAACTAAAAAATTAAATAAATAATCTCTTTACAACTAATAACGATTCCGCGTTTTAAATTAATTGTGCGCCATCTAGCAGACAATTAAAAACTAAAAATTGATTGTTTAATATCCAGTCCTTGTCGTTTGAGAGTTTCTAAAGACATCAATAAATGGATTCAATTTGAGTACACGTAACAAACATAACGTTTGCTTTGTTTACAAGCATGTTACGTCATCTAATGCGACGCCATCTTGTTTTCTTTATATAACAGCAGGCAACTCAATTCAATTCAAATTCAAAAATCATTTATTCACGTAGGTAACACAATGTACACTTGTGATTCGTCATTAAAGAAATACATATTAATGCTTCTAATTTTACATTTACTGCCAGTTCTCAAAACAAGGGCGTAGAACGGAAGAGAAGAACTGGCAATAAACTCTCCGCCACTCTTTTTAATCGCCATGTTTTTTTTTTACACAACGTTTGTAAGGAGCTGCAACCATTACACCATGTTCCACATGACATCTTAAGTAATTAATAGCAACGGGCAGGAAGGCTCAATGCCAGAGGGCTCGCGAGTGCGTTGCCGGCCTTTTAAGAATTGAATCATTAATCCATGGCCTCTAGAAGCGTTGAATGTTGAATTCAATTTTTTTTTACTAGGTGTTCACAATTGGTGCGGTGTTTCGTGCCGAGGACTCGAACACCCACCGTCATTTGACGGAGTTCGTCGGCCTCGACATTGAAATGTCCTTCAAGCACCATTACCACGAGGTCATGGAGACCATCGGTCAGACATTTACGGACATTTTTAGAGGATTGCAGGACGAGTGAGTATTTGAACATATTGTGCAATGTGTGTCTATGATGTGTTGTAGAGTTGTGTGTTTTTGTCTATGGTGTGTTATACATATATTTGTATATGACTATGGTATGTTGCAGAGATGTGTGTCTTTGTGTATGGTGTGTTGTAGAGATGTGTGTCTTTGTGTATGTTGTGTTGTAGCAATGTGTGTCTTGGTGTTTGGTGTGTTGTAGAGATGCGTATGTCTATAGTATTTTTCAGAGATGTGTGTCTATGTCTAATGTCTATGGTGTGTTTCAGAGATGTGTCTTTGTGTATGGTGTGTTGTAGCGATGTGTCTTTGTGTATGGTGTGTTGTAGAGATGTGTGTCTTTGTGTATGTTGTGTTGTAGCAATGTGTGTCTTGGTGTATGGTGTGTTGTAGAGATGCGTATGTCTATGGTATTTTTCAGAGATGTTTGTCTATGTCTAATGTCTATGGTGTGTTTCAGAGATGTGTCTTTGTGTATGGTGTGTTGTAGCGATGTGTCTTTGTGTATGGTGTGTTGTAGAGATGTGTGTCTTTGTGTATGTTGTGTTGTAGCAATGTGTGTCTTGGTGTATGGTGTGTTGTAGAGATGCGTATGTCTATGGTATTTTTCAGAGATGTTTGTCTATGTCTAATGTCTATGGTGTGTTGTAGAGATGTGTGTCTTTGTGTATGTTGTGTTGTAGCAATGTGTGTCTTGGTGTATGGTGTGTTGTAGAGATGCGTATGTCTATGGTATTTTTCAGAGATGTTTGTCTATGTCTAATGTCTATGGTGTGTTTCAGAGATGTGTCTTTGTGTATGGTGTGTTGTAGCGATGTGTCTTTGTGTATGGTGTGTTGTAGAGATGCGTGTATGTCTGTGGTGTTTTTCAGAGATGTGTGTCTATGTCTAATGTCTATGGTGTGTTTCAGAGATGTGTGTCTATGTCTAATGTCTATGGTGTGTTTCAGAGATGTGTGTCTATGTCTAATGTCTATGGTGTGTTTCAGAGATGTGTGTCTTTGTCTATTGTAATATTATATAAAGATATTTTACGAAAAATTCATTTTTTATATATATGTAAATATTAAAACTAAAATTTAACTTACAGATTCTCAGCAGAAATCTTAACCGTGGGTCAACAGTTCAAAGTTGAACCGTTTAAGTTCCTGGACCCACCTTTGCGGCTGGAGTTCCCCCAAGCCATACAGATGTTGAAGGAGGCTGGTATGTGTTTCTTTTTCTTTGGTTAGTCTTATATGACAGGTGACAGTTAAATTTTGACGTTTAATTTGAGATTTTTGAGAGTTAATTTTTTTTAATCCAGCAAAAATCATCAAAAACGATCCATCAATGTTAAAAAAAAATCGTCAAAAATTCTCTATCAATATTTAAAAAAAAGGTTCGTAAAAAATTCATCAAAAACGATCCATCCATTTCAGGTGTAACAGTGGGTGAGGAGGACGACTTATCGACGCCAGACGAGAAACTTCTAGGGCGTCTTGTTAAGGCGAAATATGACACAGACTTCTATATTTTGGACAAGTACCCGTTGGCTGTTCGGCCATTTTACACTATGCCTGATCCTAATAATGAGGTACGTTTTTGAATAGTGACGTCACAGTGTTGTAAACAAATATGGCGTTCGTACAGATATAAAAAAACCTGCCTTTTTAAAAAAAATCCCTGAACTTATGTATCACTAAACAGAAGGAGCATTTGTGCAGACAAATGTACTTTTTGTCAATTATAGTGACGTCACAGTGTTGTAAACAAATATGGTTTATCGCGTTCGTACAGATATCGAAAAAAATACGTCAGTCTCTTTAACGCTGTACAAGACCCCTTTCACCCACAAAGTGACAGAGGCTTCTTAAAAGGCCGGCAACGCACTTGCGAGCTCTTTGACGAGTGCCCCTTGTTGTATAAAAATGGGCTGATGTTAATACCGCCCATGGTCTTGTGCGTGGCCGGCCTTATGAAATATTCCAAAATTCCAGCTGTTGAAAGGGTATTTTTTTTCAGAAAGCCTCCAACTCCTACGATATGTTCATGAGGGGTGAGGAAATACTAAGCGGGGCTCAGAGGATTCATGATCCTGAGTTCTTGACGAAGCGCGCCCTGCATCATGGTATAGGTTGGTAGAGAAATTTTATTTTTTTAAACTATCGATAGAAAATCCGAAGAATTCTATAGAAAGTCTGAAAAACTATATAGACATTCTGAAAAATTATATAGAAAGTCCGAAAATTATATAAAAAGTCTGAAAAATTATATAGAAAGTCTGAAAAATTATATAGACATTCCGAAAAATTATATAGAAAGTCTGAAAAATTATATAGAAAGACGTAAAAACCTTTGTATGTTTATATGTCTTTTTTTTCAGATATCACAAAAATCGCGGCATATATAGAGTCGTTCAGCTTCGGATGTCCACCTCACGCTGGTAAGGAACTGTTGTTTATTTAAAAAAAAAAGATTTAAAAGTGCGTTTAAAAGTGTTTTTAACCATTTCTATTTCCGGGATTAGAACTCGGTACTAAACTTTGAACTTAATGTGTCTATTAAGATATATTGTATTTAAAAAAATTATTAAGATAAAATTAAAATATTTACTTTATTCCATGATTCAAAATTGCACTATTGTGAAGTAATTAAAACTATTGTTAATAAAAATAATAATAATAAAATAAACGGTTTAGAAGTGTTTTAACAATTTCTATTATTTTTACCGGGTTCGAACTTGATACTGTATTTATCCTACAAAAAATTTGAACCAGATTTTTTAACAGTAATTAAATAACGGACCGTAGTAATAACGAGTGGTTTTCACAGGTGGTGGGATTGGCTTGGAACGAGTTGTCATGTTATACCTCGGATTGGACAACATAAGGAAGACATCAATGTTCCCACGTGACCCTAAGAGGGTCACTCCTTAATATGAATAAATAAATAGAATCTATCGCTTTTTGATTTTTTTTTGAAACTACCCTCAGTGCTGGCTGAGATTCAAAGTTGAATGTCCGGCCTAAATAAAAAGTAGTCTGGTTTCTAATGTATTTGGATTTTACGTATCTTTGGAAATGCAAAACTTATTTTTTATTATCACCTACGACGTGTATTGGCACTTTGACTATATATTGCTGAAAATAAGTTATTTCGCTTCTTTATGAGACATATCCCTCTCTTTCGTTCCCGGGCAGATAATATGGGAGGACGATATACGATATAGGGAACGCCAAGGTTGGAAAACATTTAGGGGAAGGCTTTGTCGAAAGACAAGCTGTATAATAACGGATCTTATCATTAATGCCAACCACTTCTTATTTGGCCGGTTTTAAAGATTTCGTGAATTTACACTATCACAAGTACAGAGCATACTTCAGACAAACTTTGAAAGACTGAGGGTTGGAAGGTTTCTGGCATTTGAATACTTTAATTGTAGAGTTCTAACGCTAAATCTGACTTGGCCAAGTTAGGGCAACGGGTGAAAATAAAACGTTGAGTATAAAATATAATTTTTAAACATTAGACAATTATTGAAGGTAGACTATTTAATCAACAGACATTATTTGGATGGTTTAGAGTTTTTCTCGGATTTAAACCTAAAGTTTTCATATTTTAGCGTGTTTAAAAGTAAAAATGTAATGTGGGTAGTTGAAAAATATTTCTAATATTTGTGCACCAACATAAATCGTCACTCATAAGCTTGCAAACAATAATTTAGGGTAGGGAATGGTAGTGGTGATATGGAAGCAATAAATGTGGGTAGTTCACAAGAAGTTTCAAAAAAACAGACTTTCTGAATAAACTATATTTATTTTTATCATGGAATGAAGGTACAACAACTTAACAGGAATATAATCAATAAAATGAACCTAAATGAGGGTAGTTCCGACATTAACGTTTACTTTTCTTCTTCTTCTTTTTCTTCTCATAAGCACCCCCTTTTAAGTCTTGATACCCAAAGTTATTACTTTCATAATTCGGAAAATTTAGTCCATCCGTCTGTTGATAATTTTCGGAAAACGTCTCCGAAAATCGGTTACTTAGTGTTTCCGATCCGAAAAATTTGAAATCCTGTTGTATATTTTGATATTTGTCGTTTTGCTGGTAGATCGATGTTAAAATATTCGTTGCTATGGCAACCGGCGTGTTAGGATACGCCTGCTGCGTAGGTCAGAATTTCAAATCCTGTAACAATAATGAATAATATTAACTATTTACCCGCCCCAGCTTCTCCTTGCACCAGTAGGACTACGTTCTTTCCTCCACATTCTTTCCACACACACACAGTTAAAAAAGGCCTATCTAATTAGTGTAACTAATATTATGTGCTCTTATGTGTCAAAAACGATATGTCAGCGCTCACAGTACAGTTCATGCAAGAAAAGTGAGATCTATATCAATTGTTTTGAACTTAATAAATCATTATCAAAACATCCTGTAAAAATATTAATTTCAATGTGTATTAAAACTTGACGTCTGACAATCATGACATCTGTGCCGCCTTGTCTAGTCAGCGCTTCGACTTTGTACGTTTAATTTGAATTTCTAAATATAAATAACAATTTATTCATCAATGCTTCTTCAGTAGCACTCATCATTTCCGAAGGTTAGCGGAGTCGCACCTTCCTCCACTCTCCCCTATCTTCGACAAGCTTCTGCGCTTGTGTCATGGACCTGTAAGGGCCTGGACTTGATCGGTTCAGCGAGTAGGGGATCAATGTCTGGTGCCCTCCACTCTGCCAGTCACGAGTATTTCTAAACCTTCCGGGCCTCTGCGTGTTACATGTCCAAAAACATCAGGATGCGTTGGTCACAAAGTGTTAAAATATTTTTTATGGACACGATGGTTTCCTTCCTGTTCATCTACCAATAAGTCTGAAATGGTTAAAAAAGAACACTTCTAATTTTCTCTTACCTTGATGGCCTGGGGCAGATCTGGCAATTTCATATCCCTCAACTGTTGTGGTAAATTCATGCTTTTGACAGCTGACACGGCCCTTGCCGGTGCCGCCGAGATTCCCGCCTAAACACGATTAAAACGCAATAAATATTAATTCTTTATGCCCGTTTGCCCCCCTGAAAACAGGGGGCAAACGGGCAGGAGGCTCATCTGATGTTAAGTGATACCGCCCATGGACATTTAGGCTAAGTTCAGATGACCGCGCGGTACCGCGCGGAACTACGAACCGCGCGGTACAAGATCAATATAAACGGTAATTATCGTCTACATTACCGCGCGGTACCGCGCGCCAACGCGCGGCGCGCTCCGACCCGCGCGCAAGATCTTGAACCGCGCGCTTCCGCGCGGCCGCGCGCGGCACAAGTTTTGCAAACCTGTATCGACCTGTTCAGTTGATCCGCGCGGCTTGAGACGGAAAGACACATAGATCGATGTAAAATTAGTACCGAAGATATGGTATTAAGTATTTGGTGATATGCAATATCTTATAGCATCTTCACTGGATTTTAAATCATTTTCAATAGAATCGTATAAAAAATCAAAGGATGCAACTGACATCCGGAAATAGTTAAAAAATTATCTTCGTGTAACCTCAAGTCGGGATACAAAGTGACAAACAGGCTGGATGAAAGTCTGTCACTTAAAATTGGATGCACCCAGTATCGTCTTTGTCTTCTTCTACGACGTCTCAGTCTTCTATATAAAATCCATAAGCAAATTGCCTCCTCCACGTCCATTGTCAATCAATGTTGAAGCCACGCTGCCGCGCGTACATATACCATCATGTGAATGCTCCAACCGCGCGGCGACGCGCGGCTACGCGCGGTCATCTGAACTTAGCCTTAATGCCAGAAGGCTCGCAACTGTGTTGCCTACATTTTAAGAATTTTTACACGCTTTAAAGGAACTTAAGTAGAATTGGTTCGGAAATACTTCAGTGGGCTGCTGGTTCCGCATGTGCTGCGGGCAAAAAGTGCCTCAAAACGGTTGTGGAACGACAGATGAACAGGTGATACGGATGGAATTTCATATGACGTCTGATGAAACTCAGCTGCAGTACCGAACAACTTCTCTGAACACATGGTAAAGGTCACACCGTTAAAATAACAAAAAGGGTAGCAGCGACCTCAGAACCCAACCCCATCTAATGAGTAAAGAAGCGTTAAGTATTATGTAACGAATTTTTCTTTTTTTTAACGTTACGACGATGCGGGGCGGGGATTGAATTACGCGTTAATGTTAATATTATTTTCGACTTTCCAGTACTTTACACCACATAATGGTAAGTTTTTGTCACTAGGTGGTCACGAAACGTATTACTATAATTGGGTACAGAAAAACGTTACGGCGCGTTACATGGGGGGGGGGGGGATGTCAACAATCTCCAAAAGTTGCGTGACGTAATACTTGAACGCGTCCTAAGGATCAACATGTTAATGTATAATTAAAGCTGTTCTTTTCTTCTAGATTCTTTCTTCTCTGTGGGGGGGCAGCAAAACGTCAGGACCATCGTTTTGACGTGTGGACAACACGCACACATCAAAATTCTGACCCAGACGTCTCACAGCGTTCTTCTGAAATGGCTGAAGGAGGCAAAGGGTCATCCTAGGCTATTAGAAGCATAAAAATACAAAACTTGGTGCGTGGAACTCGAAAATAAGAATTGCAGCTTCTTCTCACCTCAGCCTTTTGCATCTTATTCTGCTCTTGCAATCTGCACAATATATCCGCCATGTTCGTCTGTAACACCATTCCGCCCATAACCAGTTCATCCAACACCTGATGGGCGGCGTCAGCGTGAAATATCAAATCCAACTCGCAAACATTTTCAAAACATTTGTCCAACGTTTCGACGAAAACCTAAAATCATTATAAAGACAAAGCCGTTATCGAACCGGGGGCAAACGGGCAGGAGGCTCACTGCATGTTAAGTGACACTCTTAATGCCAGAAGGCTCGCGAGTGCGTAGCCGGCCTTTTAAGAATTGGTACGCTCTTTGAAGGACTCAAAGTCGAATTGGTTTGGAAATACCAACCGGCCATGGATACTCAATGCCAGTGATCTCGCGAGTGCGTGGCCGGCTTTTTAAGAAATGGTATGCCCTTTGAAGGATGCTAAGTCGAATTTGTTGAAAATATCTGTTGCCCATAGACACTAAATGCCAGAAGAGGACTCACGAGTGTGTCGCCGACCTTTTAAGAATTGGTACACTTCTTGGAGGACCTTAAGTCGAATGGGTTCGGAAATACCTATCGCCCATTGACACACTCAATGCCAGAAGGCTCACAAGTGCGTTGCCGCCATTTTAAGAATTAGAACGCTCTTCGAAGGACCCTTATTCTTTTTTGATCGAAATATGTCATTAAGGAATGACAAGTTTATTAACACGTCAAAACCTGTACGTCAACCGGTGCGACGCCATCTTGTTTTGACAGCGATCTGGCGTTCGAAATAGCTAACGTCGAATTAAAAATAACAATTTGTGTATCTATAGTCACTAATCGCGTATTTCGCTCACCTGAATCAAATCTAAAATGCCGAGTTCACTCTCCGACGAGTCAACACAGAACACAAAATACAGAGTGGCATAGTGTCTGTATATTAATTTGTAGTCTGAACCCCCGATAAGACTGAAAAAAAAAGACAGAAAAATATAGCAAATAACTACAACATCCAGTCCAACACAGCTTAATATTCAATAATAAAAATAGGTTCAGTCAAAAGTATCTTTGACAGTCAACACTTTGTATTGGAAATTTCCTCGCTAGCATAGCCCAATGGATGAAGTTGCCGTCCACACTGCATTGCCACTTCGACAAAGCTAAACATCAACCCAACCCGTAAAAGCATCAATTAATACCCAACAAAAAAGGCCCGTAGGAGGCCCCGACATGTTCTAACTGATCCGGATGATCCAATCACCATAGCTAACAACAAATAATAGTTATTACAGATTACAGTGTAGAAATAATAAATTTAGACATCATAATATATATGTTAAGAATGGCTGGTTTTATTTCCACATCTCCAAGTCAATATAAATACTCTTGAAATCTTTTGAAACATACCTTCCACCCTCTAAGAAATTGCAGACATTGTCATCTCTCTTTGAGACCAGTTGAAATGTCTCTTTTATTATCTGTTGTTGCATATCTTCGTTCTGAAATTTATATAAAATCACTTTATTATTTTAATATTATTATTTACTTAACACAATGGCAGCTTTTAATAAGCTGATGCGAGTGTGAGATTTGGAGAAACTTATCCAATCTATTTTTAAAGGTGTTCAAAGATGGTGCACTGATCACAGTTTCCGGAAGCCTATTCCAGTCGGCCACTACTCGGTTTGGGAGAAAGTTCTTTAGGGAATTTGTGTTGTGTTAAGTGGTCTTAAGTTTTAAAGAACTACCCCTCAAATGTGTATTTTCATTTAAAATAAAGAGCTTCTCAATTCCTGGAACATTATAGTGGCCAGTGAGGATTTTATAGGTTTCAATGAGATTTAAATTTTGACTTCATTAAAAAATATACTACATTCATTCAGCGTACATTCATTCAGCGTAAGAGAACTGAACGAAAATCACCTAACATCTGGAATGACACACACACTACTTTATTCCAGAGATTTGAAAAATTATAAATAATAAATAATTTCTTTTAAAGTAAATGGATATAGCATTGTTGGATTAAATGTAGCCACACCACTTTAATTGAATCAAATCCTAATTCTCCATTCCCCAAATGGGAGCCCATTTTTCCCCAAAGGGACACGATGCCTTCGCTGAGCCATTTTGCTCTTTTCAATTAAACATAATTAAAGTGGCACAATTAAAATAACATCCTGCTCACATACATATTTCATTAATTGTAGTTAGGTATGTCACAAAGTATTCTTGGATAAGCACCCAGTACTATAGTACTATCTACAATATCATGAATAGTTGCACAAACAGTGTTATTTGGTACAATCTCATATTACTCTACTAATAGTTTGATTAATTGTTCTAGAATATAAAAGTAGAATACAATTGTTTAGCAGTACCCATAAATTGGTCCTGGGGGTAAAACAAAAATATTATAACTGTTCCATGAAGAAATCTCATAGAAATACAAACAGAAAATTTGATCTCTTAGTTACAGGGATTACATGGCTTCGTTTTCCGTTCTCGTCACTATTTTGCTCCATTTTTCATGAGAGCTCCGTAGCATATGACCCGTCCATCTCCATTTCATTTGGTCAATCTTAGTGAGATTGTCTGTCACACCTGTTCTAGCTCTTATGTCTGAGTTTATTTGTTTATCTAATTTTCTTATGTTCAGCATGCTTCTTTCCATGGCTCTTTGGCAGTTTGCTAGCATATCCCTGTGCTGGTTAGATAGTGCCCAAGTTTCGCAGCCATAGGTAAGGCAGGGTAGGATACATGTGTCAAAGACTTTTCTCTTTATTTTTTTGCTGAAATCTGTTGTTTTCATGATCTCCCTCAGTGACCAATATCTTTTCCATCCATTTGCTATTCTTCTTTTGATCTCATTGGTGGTTATATCAGTTAGAGAGATAATTTGCCCCAGATAAATGTACTCTTCAACATATTCTAGAGGTTGATTATTAAGTTTTATTTCGTATGGGATTGAATTTGATAGTAGCTTTGTTTTGCTTGTGTTCATTTTCAGCCCTGCTTTCTCACTTTCTTTGTTTAAGTCTTGTATCATTTCTTCAAGTTTATGAGGGTTCTCTTCGAACAATACAATGTCGTCTGCAAATCGAAGATGATGTAGTTTTCTCCCATCTATATTTAGTCCAAATTCATTCCATTCTAGTTTTCGGAATATGTTTTCAAGCACAGCAGAAAATAGCTTGGGAGATAATGGGTCCCCTTGTCTGACACCTCTTTCGATTTTAAATGCCTTTCCGAGTTAGCATATATTTGTTTTATGATGTTTATATAGGCCCCGGATACTCCTTGGTTTTCTAAGCTTTCCCATATCAATTCATGTTTGTTGCTGTCAAAAGCTTTGGTGTAATCTATAAAAGCCATATACACTGTTTTGTTATATTCACTATATTTTTCTATAATTTGTTTGACTGTGTGTATATGGTCTATCGTTTCGAAGTTTTTCCTAAATCCAGCCTGTTCCATTGGTTGGCTCTCGTCTAATGTGGTGCTTAATCGATCTAGTAATATCTTGGAAAAAACCTTATATATGTTTGACATCAGGCTTATTGGTCTATAGTTGCATAAGTCTTCCTTTGAGCCTTTTTTGTATATAAGAATTATGTGCGAGGTTTGCCATTGTTCAGGAATCTGTTCTGTTGTTAGGATGTCGTTAAAGATTTTTGTCAGAATGGGCACCAGTTCTTTAAGGGTTCCTTTCAGTAATCCGTTCGTGATCTTGTCTGGACCTGGTGCCTTATCTGACTTTTGGCTTAATATAGCTGTCCTGACTTCACTTTGTAATATATCTGGTTCTAAGTTTGAAGGGTATATCGTCGTTTTGTAGTTGTTGCACTGTTTGTTTCCTGCGATAGCTGGGTTGGAGTATAGATTTTTGTAAAAATCTGATGCTGTCTTTACTATACTTTTGCGGTTCGCGATGTTAATTTGATTTCTTTTGAGAATAGGTACCCAAGGAGTCGCTTCACGAAGTTTTTTAAGAGCTTTTTTGGTTCCGCCTGATTCAATTATGTGTTTTTCGAGTGTTTGTATTCTCCTTGTTTTCCTGTCCCTGCGTATGCCCTTCCTTGTTCCCTTACTTATTTCGGCTATTTCTCTCAGATTCCGTCAATCATTTAAAATACTACAAATCAAATAAATTACAATACATACTGTTTTGTCTTGTACTAAATTTAAGTCTAATGAAGATCCTAATTTATAATATTTTAGATTCAAGTTACTTACTCATGCCTCTTGATCTCTTGAACACTAGTTTTTTACTAACAAAGGACTGAATCTAAGATATAAATATAGCTACACCTTTGCAGTAAAAATCAATAATGGCCAGACAGAGATATTGATTTATGAGCAGGATAGACATGGCATCGTCCATATTTAATATAGACATACTACTATCTACATTGAAATAGGTGAAAAACCACCAAATATTAAAAAAAAATTAAATATACTTACGAAATACTGATAGAATTTTGATAATCTTGGTTTTCCATGGTTATTAAACACTAATATAGCTTTAATCATCTTAACACTACCCTTTTTATAAAATTAATAGTTATACTGTTGTAAAGATAAGTAACTTATGACTAACTATTTGATAAAAGATTCAATTTGTGAAAATCGAAAACAAGCCCAAAAAACTTGGATTGCTATTTGCTTTCCAAGTTTCCAGTTTCCACAGAATACATAGGTCATAGTTACATAGCACCACATATGGCACATAAACTTTCTGTAAATTGTCAATGTCTACTTCAAGCCAAGGTAACATAATCAAAATATCATCTATTCACATTCATAAGAAGTTATCATCAAGAAGAACTATTTCCTACTAAATTTACATTTCCCGCTAACTCTTAAAATAAGGGCTTAAAACGTACGAGAAGAACTGGCGAAAAGCTCTCCAATCACTAAGTTTTTGATTTACAAAATGTTTATGAGGAGCTGCTACCATAACATTATGCTCATAATCCCACCATAAATCAATCAATTATAATAATAATATTACAGAGTTTAATCTGAATAGGCACATTGGAATAGGACTTACATTATGTAGTAATAAGGAGAATAAAGGTAAAAAATACTTAATATATTTATACCAGTCGCCATAACTAGCACCCGTTCACGAATATCATCAGGATTACATTGCGTTATATTGAAAGTTAAGTATTTATTTTAAATATAATCACAATATTTCATATTTCTTGTGTATAAATATAAAACACATTATATCTATTTTCAGAGTTAAAAATATTTGGCGAGGCAAAACGGAAAAAAGCGGAGTCGCTTGACCATTAATTACCTAATTACGCTAAATATTTTGATCTGTCAAGATTGTGGAGCTAGCTAAAGAAAAAATGAAAGACAAATCCGCATGGTCTAAAGACTTAAGCTTTGCCGGAGGTCGAATAATAATTTAAAAAATGTCAACTTACTAATTGTCAGTTGTCACCATTTTTTTTTATGAACGCGTTTCTGTGTTCGCGCATCGCGGTCGAATTGTAATTGTCAGAAAAAAGAGTTTGCAAAAAAAGTTTAGTGTAGTATTGTGTGAATTTACTAATTGTAATTAATTGTGCTGTTTGAAATATAAACTTTTGAATGAAAACATATCAAACAACCCGTGCAGGTGTATTATTTGTAATCAGGTCAGTTTACCAGTATTATTGCACTCTATGTCACGATGTCTTTATTTGGAGACCGGTCCTCATTTCTCCAGCTACTTATTAAATAACTATTCTGAGGGGTATCTATTTCAATCTCGTGTTAATGAAACCATGTTATTTAACGCTTAATATGCATCTTGTTAGTTTCGCTTCTACATAATAAGTAATTGTTGATGTTGACTCGAGCGTTTTATATTAAACGGAACAATTGGTTTTTATGCCAATTTAGATGAATAGATATTATCTGAGCGTTCTTTTGATAATTAAGGACATTTTTTACACGTGTTGATATCAAAGAAAAACGAGATTGCTTGAATACATTTATTTTTATACACATAATGATTTTAAATTAACATAAGTTATCTATTTGTACCCATTATTTATTCGTATAAAGGTTAAAAGCCTTCTGTTAGCCTTTTGTTTTTTTTACAAGAACATAATTTCTTTTATATTGATTTTTGATTTTATATTGATAGTGATTATCATATAGACATTATTAATAGATGCAGATTTACTGCATTAAAATAGATTTTATATCACAATTTTCTATTATTATTTGTAAATAAAATCAGAATTCAAAAATTTTGAACTGTCTAATTGGCATAAATAATTAACCATTGTATACATTCAATGTTTTAATATACACTATTAATTTATTGTGTTAATAAGTGTAATGGCTGATAAAATATCTTATGTGGTACATAACTAATTTGTTGTCATGTGTACATACAAATATATTAAACAGAAAAGTTTCGAGTTCATTATAAAATATTGTCAGAAATAAAAAGGAAAATAGTACAGTTACAATCTTGTTTTATCCAATTCTTTTTGTCAGAAGAGTAGATTATTGTATATATGAATAAACTGCACTCACACAGAGAACAATTTGATACATTAATCCATTGTAATATATATTTATTATTTAATTAATATTGGTTACATACCTTTATTAAATTAGTGTTTTTTAAGTGCCATTCCATCCTAAATTTTTTTATTAAATATTTAGTAGTAGGCAATTTATTACAGAAGTATAATATTCTGTAATAAATGTAGATTTATTTACTCACAGCTCTCTGCTGCTCTAACTCTAGCTGACCTGGCAAACGCCGTTTTGCCATGTATATCATTTATAATAAAAAATAGGGGTTGATCGTAAAGGGGTGAAAATTAGGGGTTGTATGTATTTTTTAATGCTCTATCATAAAAAAATAAAAATATTTTTTTTTATCTAAAATTACTAAAATAATAATTTAGGACTACCCTTAACATTTAGGGGGATGAAAAATAGTTGGCTATGTCTGAGAATCGGACATCTGTACATGTACTGTAGTATGTACACAAAATTTCATGAGAATCGGTCAAGCCTTTTCGGCGTTTACGTTTTTTTTCGGCTTGGTGTTTAACTACAAACACCGCGACA